GCGCTTTTGTCTGGCGCGCTTCGGCGCTCGCTCAAAGGAACTCTTCAGGTCTCGATAGGCTGCAGACACTTGATGGGTTTAGGGTTTAGGGTTTAGGGTTTAGGGTTTAGGGTTTAGGGTTTAGGGTTTAGGGTTTGGGGTCCTAGAATTCCTTTACGAGGGTTGGCTGGTTTCTAGTTTAGGGTGCAGGGGTTCAGGCTTTACGGTTCAGGGTGTAGGGTTCATTCGTTCTGGTTTAGGGTTTAGGGCTCAGGGTTAAGGCTTTACGGATTGGTTTAGACGACTTTGAGGGGTTCTATGGTCTACTAAACGAGATTCAGGGTACGCTTGGGGTTTGTCAACAGCAACTGAATAAACTGTTCGACTCCGGCTTCGGGCACTCTCGCTAGAGAGACGCAGTCAGAATGCCAAAAACAGTCGCCTCTCCAGAAAACTATAACCCAGAGAGGGCTGAGGGTGCAGGCTTTTGGCCTTTACCTGGCTCCAAGTAGGGTTTAGGTACCTGTTCGCAAGATGCTTTTTCTGCTGGCCGCAACCAAGACTGTCAAACAGCATGAGATTTCAGGAAAAAAAACGAAGGAGAAACATCAATCATCGAATAAGGAGCAGCTGCGGCAGGAACGAAAAAAGACGTGTTTGCAGAATGCATAATTACTAGCAACAACTTCGAAACAAGCTGCAGGAAAAGCAGGATTCGAAAGAACACTCGGACTGGCCGCTGTAGACAGGCCCGAAACCCTAAACATCAAGCCAACCCTAAACCCTGAAACCAAACCACAAACCCCACTTCTTGGTCAAAAACAGCCAAACCCCTGAACCCGCAACTTTAAACCCTACACCTTAAGCCATTAAGGAAGGAGAAAGCAGAGACGCCTCAAACTCTCCGCGAGGAAGCCGCGGACGCAGGGACAACCTCGAACAAAAAAGCGGTGGGAGCGCTCCGCATGAGGCTTCGGGTTGAGTGTTTAGAGTCAGGGGCTTAGGGTTTAGGGGTTAAGGGTTTAGGGGTTTAGGGGTTTAGGGGTTTACCGGTTCGGGGGTTCAGGGTTTAGGGCTTCCGGAGGCTTCGGGTTGCGAGTTCAACGCCATGGGCGTATCGGTTACGGGACTAATTGGGGGTGTGGGTTTAGGGCTGATTGGTTATGATTCTGACGACTGTGATTACAGTGAAGATTACTACTTTCTCTAGCATGAGTTGGCTGATGCTTGACATCGAGTTCCTATTCTTGGAGGTATGCTTATTCCTCGAACGATGTCATCATGTTCTGTGGTGCACACTTTGTGGGTATGCAGAGCTGAGACTGCTTGGCATGCTTTCACTATGTCACTATGTGTGAGCTACGCTGACATCACTATCATCAGCATTACTAGTGCAATTGCTGCAATTGTTGCTTCCAGTATTGTGATTAGGTACTTGGAGGATCATGGGACGTAGTAAGTAAGGTTCTAAGTACCCTAATTGGGGTTATAAGTAATTAAAAGTCTAGTTACCTTATTTATAACCCTAGTTACTAAGTCCCATAAACCTCTAAGTAGAGGGCACTAGGGTTCAGTTTAGCCTCGCTCACATGCAAGAATGAGTGTCACATGCAGAGTGCACCTACACTTGAACACCGGCGACACGAAACCGCGGCTCAAGATACATGGGTAGTTACCTAAACTTGGGGAACCCAAAAGACGTCGGGTTCCCCCATAAACAGGACCCTAAAAGGGACACCCTTACGCGACCCTAAACCCCAAACCCTAAACCCTAAACCCACATGACTCATCACCACCTGGACCGGGCCGGCAGGGGCGGTGACTCATCGCCTCCGGCAGACATAGCT